AGTGTAAGGTGTGGTAAAATTGGGTTTAAAGTCACGTTTAATATTTTTGCAGTCTCATAATGGCATGTATTCGTGCGCGGTAGCGTGTGTGTGTGTGTGTGTGTGTGTGTGTGTGTGTGTGTGTGTGTGTGTGTGTGTGTGTGTGTGTGTGTGTGTGTGTGTGTGTGTGTACGTGCGTGCGTGCGTGTGTGTGTGTATGTGTGTGTGTGCGTGTGGTTATGATATCAGTATTATAGTGACTATGACTAGTACAACCAGACAGACACACACACACACACACACACACACACACACACACACACACACACACACACACACACACACACACACGCACGCACGCACGCACGCACGCACATACAAACACTCTCACACACACACTCTCTCTCACAAACACGTGCATGAACGTCGCTATGTACGTAAGTGCAATAATCTTGGACGCGACGTTAAACCCCACCTAACCTAACCTCACCTTCATATGTTCAAATGTTACAATTATATCATTGTTTCAATAACAGGTCCTGAAGTCGTCACCTAATCAAATATAACCATATTATGAAACCAACATCATCTCATGTTATGTCTATTAGATTATATATGTGATCATACTGAAAACGCTTAAACTTGCAATCAAATTACCGCTGTGTCACAAAGATATTTTGGTCGTTTTACACGATTTGTAAAAATAAACCACAAGCCAATTTGTTCGAGTTACAGCTCTGTAAATGTTCTTTGGATGTTCCAATAGGCACACGTGTTGAGCTTATTTGATTAAGGTGTAGCTTCAAGCGTAATCACTGTGGTGCCTTAATCTGCCGATTAGGAGCATTTTGTCAGACTTACAAGCCGATCGATGGCATAGTGATGTGACCAATGACACATGACGAATGTGTTCAGTCCGTTTAGGTCTACACGGTCGATTCCTTCTTGACTGGAACATTTATTTTCCATTAATAATTAATCATATCATGGCAACGAGCTCACGTCACACTACATTACGTCCACAATTGAATCAAGATGTATAATCACTTTGTTTTTTGGTTGCTATTTGTTTTGACCAGATTGATATGATTTCTTGATCGCGGCCTTAACAGATTCATTTTGCAAAGCATGCTGCAAATCTCTAGGGCATTAGCGAAGTTGTAACAGATGATACTACCATTGTCAGAATGTACATATACTGGCTAACACTCTGTTTATACAAAGTCTGAACAGAGATTCCACATGAAACTAAACATAACTATTAAAATAGCTAGCTTTATTAAAGCACCAATGTCGTCAAAGATTATTGGTCATTCTAGTTTCTCCAACACACAACTCGAGTCCAACCCCATCAATAGCAAATCAAATCACGGAAACGTATATCTACATGTAAAATAAATGCAATGTATACAAAAATGAAGAAGACACATTCGAAAATAAATATTCACTGTAAGAAACTTGTAAGTTAGTGAGTTTGGTATAACGTCGCTGTGATAAGCAATTCAGTGCCACCTTGTTGTGGGATGAAACCCGGAAGTGATGCAGTCTGTTTGGTAGTGATTCATTAACACAAGCTTATAATATATTCGGAATTGTACAGTCTAATCTCCTTTTAGCAGAGACTTCTTATAAATATGGAAAGGGTTTTGTGGCTTTTATTTATGCTTTTTTTGCCTTTTACACCCAATGGAAACTGTTTCGTGGGATAATCGTGGATATTCTCTGGCGTTCATGTTTTATGTGTTGATTTGGTGAAACTTAGGTGAAACCCACAGGTACGGGTATTGTGTTGACAAAGAAACATAATCAGCTTGATCAGGGATTCAAGCCCCTCATATAAGGATCCTGGCACGCTTAAGTGACGCAGCTCTACATGGCGAATTTCGCCGCCTAGGACGACTGGTCCATCCATGTTCCTTGACTACAATTTAGATAAAGAATGGCGCATACAGTAACAGTGTTCTTCTCGTACATTATATCTTCACATCCCAGGTACAGATTTATATCAATTTGACTTGAAGCGTTGGTATAATCACATCTCCATATTTTAATAAAGACTGGGATCATTCTTCAGCTCACGTCATTCTTGTTATAAACATGACACTAAGTGACAAATGTATCAGGGAATTACCTTACACAAGTGGCGTTTGCTCCCTTCTTTACTTGTTTCCACAAACACTGTAGCCCGCCTGTTTGCGAACATGTGGTTCCATCGCTATACGATAGTGATTCATAAACACATACTTATGGCATTATCGGAATGTTGCAATGGAACAGATACATCTTATGAATATGGAAATGGTTTTGTTCGCCTCTATTTACACCAATATCTTAGTTGGATTCGTATATGTTTTCTTCATTCATTCATTTTCATAATAAATATAATCAAATCATTTAAAGGCATTTAGAAGTCATACACATGAGGAAGATAATTTATGGATGTCAACTTCTTTATTATGAGGAACACAACGTTTATGCTTACCCCTTCACCATTCACCTACTGAAGGGGTAAGGATATACTCCGAAACGTTGTGGTCCATAATAAACAAGATGACAACCATAAATTATCTTCCTTCATAAATATCATGTCATTATGATAGAAGTATGTTTTCTCAGCAAGTATGCATGTTGAATAATAGGTTCAAAGTATTATGAAGATGCAATGTTTGTTGGTTTAATTGTACTTTTTGGCATGAGAATGATATATTTATTTCCAGTGAGTGCTATTATGTCAAATACATCCATATCCTGGCATTGTAGATAGTCTGGTTTTCGATCACACAATACATCCCATGATGCTATAGTTCTTCATCACATCTTTTCTGCACAAAGTTTGTGGGTTGTCCACCAACAATATATTGACAAATGGTCATAGTATCGATGTATGGTGGCAAGTCTTTCAGAACCCCTCGTGACGGGTAAACCTTCCGCTTCATGGCCTCCAGGTGGATCCATTCTTTATCTGGTATCCGACTGAAGCAAAGGTTAGGACACAAACCAAACGTATCTTGACGGGTTTTCAACATAACACGGATGTTAAGTGGTATGTTTGAACATATCAATCATATCCCCATCTTATTCGAAATAATGATGTCTTATTGTAAAACGGGGGGCACGAGTGGCCCAGTTGTGCAGAGTTGCGTCCCTTGGGCACGCCAGAAACCTAGGATAGTGGGTTCGAATCCCGGTTCGCCCCGATTATGTTTCTAGGTTTGTCAGCACCATACCCGTGCTCGTGGGTTTCACCGACGTAGAAACGTCTGAGACCTCCATCACTTCGGGCTTTCCTCCCACATAAAGCTGACACGCCTTGATATAACTGGAATACTGTTAAAAGCGGCGTTAAACCCACCTCACTCACTCACTTATTGTAAAAACGTGCCCATCTTCACATTTACATGTATGCGCCAAATGACCTTTATATCTGTCGTTTATATGTTGTATTTGTTCTATTCATACAATATTAAAACGGGACTGACCTTTAAGGCCGTCTGCTTATACAGGTTTAGGCATTGGAGTTAAAATAGAAAAAGGGAAAATGACATTATTGCAAATCATGTCTGAGCAGGTTTATATAAATAATGTTTGCAGCTATTACGAAGGTAGAGTTGAGAACAGTTGATCTATTATTTATGTACCCTTTCAATGAGGAAACGTCATGGATGTCAAACAACACAAATGTGTGGAATCCATGAGTACATAACATTTGATCTTCGTTTCATGAAAGGGTAACTGAAGTTAGAAAACTGTTAATCACCCAAACGCTATAACGACTATTCTGTAATGGAGTTTATATGACGGGTATGCCTAAAGCGAACACAGCATGTCCAATAGAATCCGTCATGTATCATCAAACTTGCGTTACTTTTGATGTTACATATTGTCATATATGTACCGGAATACCTCTCCAATTGCAAAATATTAAAGGCCATGTTCCACTCGCAGTTGATAATTAAAATATGTTATCGGATTAAGTGCAGTCTGAAGATAGGGACAAACTTTTAACCCGTGTCAAAGAGTTCTCTTTTAATCCCAGACAAAGTTGTAACATGGCGTTCCATCAAAAGACTTTGCCAATAATTGCTTAACGGACATTGCAATTAAACCGCTGTCACACCAAAGAGGAGATGCAAATTTGATATTGATATACAACTCTCAAACGGGTCGAATGTTTGAGCATAACGACATCTTTCTCATGTTGCATAATCATGAACACGATTTGGCGTTTAGTCCCGACACCATGAGAATACATCCATGATATTTCAGACTATTGAATAAACAGATTGTACGAATGAGCTTAATAATGCTATCAAGTCATTTAATCTTTCGTTTGGCCTGTAGTCATGGTGCTGATGTAGATTGCGTTCTGAGGTTTCGAGTTTCTAAAACTACGATTTTACTTTTCTAAATAGATTTTCCATATTCTGTCAAATGGAAATAGATATGTTTTTATACATAGCACATACATATAGGCTTTTAGTCATATTTGTCTGTTGTTCTGTGTTTTTGTATATATTGTTGAAGCATCATTTGAGCAATGATTTACTGATTGAGCACATGAAAAGAGTGCGAGTGAGTTTGACGACGCTATTAGCAATACTCCAGCAGTATCACAGCGGGGGATACCAGAAACAGACCTCACAAATTACACCCCCTGTGCGAAACAAACCGAGATCTTTGGCGTGGCGAGCGAACGCTTTAACCACAAGGACAACACATCCCCAAATGTAGACTGACAATGCACATGCTTCCTTCTTTGCATCAACAAATACATGTGACACATTCCAAAATGTTCACACTCTTCATAAAGGCATGGTGAAAATGTCATATGTCGCAGGGTAGTTCCTCACAGACTTATTTTAAGAAAAATGACCAGAGGAGATGTTTATGAAGAAGTGAAATGGCAAGAATGTTCATATAAGATTTAAGATTTGTTCGTGGTAATGAAAGTAAGGTTGATGAATTTGTAGGCACGGTTTGACATCCTTCAAGTTGGTCAGAAAGACAATAACAATACCTGGTTCAATCTTCATCTTTTATTCCAATTGGACAACATTGTTCCTTCCTTAAAACAGACAACAGAAACAAAACACGATTCAAGTTACCTTAAATGTGATAGTTAAACAAGTAATAACTCTTAAGATTAACAAAACAATTCACAGATCCATCAATCAATGCCATTTTCAGTGAAACAAATAACATTTTGAAAACAATTTCGTTTATTACCTGAAAAAAACTAACAATTGTAACATAATAGAAGACGAATCGATACTTGTTAATAACATACACCTTGTAAAGTGTATCTGATCTTATCACATTGATGTCCATGTATTTAGACAATGTCTATGTCATGTATTTACGTTGCTGGTGATTTAATTACCAGAGCGGTAGGTATTTGTAGAATTAATAACGCTCTAATATGTTGTATTTGCTATTATTGTCGATTGATTGCTTCATTATAGTTTTGAGTGTTTCTGCAGATTACCTTATGTAGGTGTAACTTACCTCTCGACGCCAACCTCGATGTTTCAGGGGTGGGTGTATACTTAGAAAAAATACATGTGCTTCTCAAGACTGAAGAAGCTTGCTTTATATGGTTTTCATTTCCTTTTGTAACACAAATCTATTGTAAGGGGATATGTATTTGCCTTACTGTACAGGGCAAATTACACAGATCAGTGGTACCGACTTATATTTAGTCCTTTAAATGTTATCATATCGTTGTAGTAACAAGATTTACTTGTGCCAGCTGACAAAGAACGTGTATGACAAGTAGGAGACGTGAAGCTGTACACGTTCCCTTCAGGGTAAAACACTTGCCCAAGTATGTGTCCACATCAACGTGTGCCTACATCACGGTTACGCAATGGAACTATGTATGAGCAAGTGTGACATGATAGAAATCCGATCAAGGTTATGTCAATTGGAAAATCGTTCAAACATGCACTGGTATACCTCACCCTCAATATTAAAAGGGAAACGCTTGGAAATACTTGTATCTGGTAAGCTGTGTGAGATGGCAGGTTGGATTCCAGGAGGAATACGAAGCCTAAGGGACACAGGAGGAAGAAGGGGATTGTGATTGGATTGGACTCCGATGTTACCATTATGCCATAGTAACATCACGGCCTGGCAGCTTAATGCCGAAGGGAAGCACAATGCGATACAGCTCGTAGACGTTTACCACTTTGGTGAAACCCACAAGCCTGGGTGTGGTGCTATTAAACAGACAAGGGTTATAGTTCAGGCGAATCTAGTCCATGCACGACTGGGGACGCGTAACAGCACACTCGACCACACATGCCCCTTGCCAACGAAGAAGCAGAGGACGGCTTGAGGGACAAAGTCAAGACAAAGAGGAGTTGGTAAGAGATGACATGAGGAAAGACGCTTATAGGAGAGCACGTGTGAATGGATGAATAATGGTTAAAGGTCGAGATATATGAATCATTATAACCTTGTACTTTTGTAGGACACTCTATATTACATAATATAGTATTTTCAAATATCATACAGAAAAGAATGGGATTTTGTATGTACAGGTTGAGCATGCCAGATTACAATATGACGGGTTCACATTTTGATATGTCTCGTGGGGCATAGCAAAATATAGTGTCTTACTCATCAATACGACATCATGCAGGTATGAAAATAATCACAGCTATACATTGTATAACACTGAAATATACATATTTAATGACATGCAATAACCCATTTGGTAAGCCGTTGTGAAAATGATAGAAATGTAATATATGTACATGTGAGCGACTGCACGTTGACACATACATTAATATATACGTATATTTTATGATATCTGGAACACAACGATAATTGTCTAAATATCAATACACATCAATGTTAGATGGTTACATGATCAGATGATGGCTTCAATACATACAATGTATCACAGGTGTCAGGGCATTGTCATTTTGTACTGTGGGAAGGGGTGTGTGTAAAACAACAAGGATTCATATTCCATATTATTCATAGGATTAATGGTATTGTGTGAACGCACTACTTTGATCACACAGTGAACTGGACGATTCGCAGTCGATATTGACGAATATTAAGCGACAACTGCAAAACATGTCATCTCTGTCGTACAGTCATGGAGGAACAGCTTCTCCTCATCGTGTAATAGACAACGAATGACAATAGCCATGACGTATATGAATACTACTAATTAAACCGACCTTTCCGATTTAGGTACTAGGTAAGAGTGAGTGAGCAAGTTTATGCTTTACTTCACATCGGCAATATTTCAGCCATATCGTGACGATACTAGATAAGAGGTAAAGTTACAATTTAAGAAACCGACTTTGGGTCGCAAGAACATTGTCACAGAAAATACAGTGACTTCGCGATTTCATAAGAAATTAAAGAAGTGTTGAAAAGACATTTTAACCATGTGCAAAGTGTATGCTCATAGCATTTTTTTACTATTACAGTATATTACCCACAGATTCACTGATACAGTTGAAATTATTGATTACTTTTTAATCATCATAACTGAGCATTTTGTATTTCGATTAGTCTTTCTCCCCTTTAACCAAGTTCGACGATCAATTTGCACGGTAGAATCTCAACGGACCTTCATGATGACTGGCTATTTTTGTTCCACTTCTTCGATTGGTTCCATTGTTTGCGGAGAGGCCCATAGCTGTCTCCACTTGAGATCAGGAAAAATACATGTTTCTACAATTTCACAGAAACATACAATTGATAATACAAGGAATAACTGAACCAAGAGGAATTACAGATTTACTGTCTGTTGTGAATTAATGCTGAACATGGCCACCAAAGCTTGGAACTTAATTCACTCGAGACAGATAATGAGTAATTCCTCGTAGCTTTCAATTAACTAACTATTTATACAGTTTTGGATATTTTTCGAAATATTCAATTTCGTCATATGGTGAAGTATATACATAATATGATGCATTCTTTGCTGTATATGGAACATAGTGCAGTGTGCAACCATATCACCATCATACACCGCGGTAACATATACACTATATACATACAGAAATATCAACGATATTGAATTGATGAGTTGAAGAAATACGTAAGATGATTTTAAATCAATACCCTTCCCGATCGTGTGGCAAATGAAAATTGTGAAAGGTTTTAGTTATATTCACCATCCTTCCGAAGTTATCACCTTCACCTCATATCCACCTTCTATTTAATTTTGTGTCAGGGATTTCTGGCTGTGTTTTATGTATATAGTGACAATTGTCAGTACTATAGAACATCACAGTAACCCTGTGAAGTAATCTAACAATAGAAGACTAACGTAAAACAAACGCACTTGATGGAAAAGTCATGGTATTGCATGATACGTTTCAATCTTCTTGAACGTAATTGTGTTTCTTAACAATACACGTCCTCGGTAAAGCATATGTAGCGACAAATCATACATCAGATAAACAATTATTTATCAGTCAGTCTATCTTCAATGTTGAAATTTATTAAAATTCTTATTTCGATTATTGCATTGGCAATGTTGCCGTAACTTGTGACATATACATGAACCGAGTACACGTGTACATTAAACACTAACTGTTAACGCGACTGTGATTAATTGCAATCTGATTTTCAGATTTTTTTCAAAGAGTTACAAAATCTGATTATTTCATTCTTTCGACATCAGAAATCACGATAAAATTTAGTATCAGATTAACCTTAAAAACACATTCATCATTCCAGTATGAGGACTCCGACCAGCGGTAAAACACTTACATATCGTTTACACATGTTCCAATATAAAATATGTTCTTCAGTACACATGTTTGTACATATGACGTCCTCTTATCGACACTGTCAAGGATATTGGTATCTACTTAAATTTCGTTGTTGAAATAACGCATACTTTTCTCGTGTGTACCCCTTTGGCAATTCAAGCAGATTATGCAGTTTCAATGGGTGTTACGATTTGCCACGGACATCATGCGAGTTAAACAGAAACTACATAATACAAGATAGCCAGTATCTTTTCAGTACATCCATGACAAGCGTCGCCAAACGTCGTCAGATTCAAAATATAATTGTACAATATCATTGAACCCTCTATACAAGAAACAGAGGGGTTACGTTTTGTTCTGTCAAACACTTGATTCAAAGCCTCTGCTACATTTAACAACAAGCACTGGTTTTCTTGTATTTGGACATCTCTGTATCCGACGCTATGTCTTTTAATTGTAGGGCGAACATGGGTGTATGCTTTTCTTTTGTCTGGCAGTCCAAAACAATGTTGAACTAAGAGTACATAAATATATACCAATTTAGATTATCACATTAAAAATACAGGAATATACAGGAACACCTCGTCAACTCGAACGTCTTTATTTCGAAATATCATGGAAGACCATGCATCCTTTCGGTTCTTGCAGACACGTCGATTTATCGAACACCATCACTCCGCTTGTCTCGAATAATGGATAACTCGATATATTTCTTCGATGATTCAAAAGACTTCCGTGTTAACGAGGTTTTACTGTGGTGTCATCAAATCCACCTTTAGTTTATATCCACGTCAACATCAAGGTTACACAAACGAATACAAATATTTGAAGCATCTGATGGATGTTATTACTTCAAACTTCAAGTTTAGGTTTGTTCAGGGTCTAAACTGACCATCTCAAAACATTTGAAATAAGTGTCCTCAGGATTGTCAGTGACCCATGGACGCTCAAAAGTTAGTTGTGAACGTGGTCGTACACGTTTCGGACATGAGGTGGCCATTACTGGATACCATGGAATATTTCTCGCCATTGTGCTTTCTTGAAAATGAATCCTGAAAGGAACGAAAACGCCCGCAACACGTTAACATGTATAACACCTCTTTCCTGAAATGTTTTCCGGTGAGACAGTATATCGCAAAATACAGGGCGAAATGCGACAGACACAGACACTCGATTATTTTCCGACTTTCCAGATAGCTAAACATTTTACTCCATGTTGGGTCTTCTCGAATTTCTTCGTCAGTCATCATGATATCGCCGTGCGGGAAGAGCGTCTCCATGCAGAACACCACGGTGGCAGTAAGCTGGGTAATGATCAAGAAGAAGGACACCGAGAGGAGAGTCACTGTTGAAGCTGTTGTGCTTGCACTTCCACTTTGACGAGAAACGACACCATTTTTAGCTAATTTACAAATTTCTTTTAAAACAAGGGCGTTAAAGCACAACACAATCAGTGGAATTGCTCCAAATATCAGCAAATCGGAAACCCAACTCCAGATGTTGACAAAACTGGCGGCATCCCCTTCTGTAGCCGCTTGTCTGTAGTGACAAGCGCCATGTTCGGGAGTGTATGTCCAAAAGTATATCTGAGCCGACGCAACAGCCGCGGAAAAAAACAGCAGGACACAAACGATGACACAGGCACGTCTGACAGTGCACCACTTCTCCTTTTGAAAAGGATGACACACGGCCACATACCTTTCTACTGTAAATCCAAGAACCAATAGAGTGCTCAGGTACTGTGGGGTGTAATAAAAGAACATGAAGGTCGCGCATGAGGCTGCTGATGTGTTATACGTCCGATAGCCCCATGCTCCATGAAGGGTGTACAACAGATGCAGGAACAGAAATATAAGGTCGGAGATGGATAGCGCTCCAAGGTAGATGGCGGATGAGTTGTTTCGCCTCATACGACGTCCGAGCCATATCACCGCGGAGGCTGGATTACACACAAAGCCAACAGCGTACCACAAAGGGGGGATAAACTTTTCTGAATATGGCCCAAGGGGGGCGAATGTTTCCAGTAGTTCAGCTGTGCTGTATCTGTGGAATACAATGCTTCCGAACTCCGCCGGAGAGGCTGTCGTGTTGTTACTCATCTCCTGAAATGAATTATTAATACATTATTATGAATTAATGTAGTACAATTTGTTACAGTAAGTGAGTATGGTTTTACGCCGCTTTTAGCAATATTCCAGCAATATCACGGCGTTGGACACCAGAAATGTGCTTCACACATTATACCCATATCGGGAATCGAACCCGGGTCTTCGGCGTGACGAGCGAACGCTTTAACCACTAGGCTACCCAACCACCCCACAATTCGTTACAACACATCAATACGTATTCCATGTTTTATGGTAATCTGGAAAAACGACATGTTTATCTGTTTGTCACACATGTCTACCCATCAGATAACATGAGAAAATAACTCCTTTTTTCAGATTTGCATGTATTGCTGATGCCAGGAGATTATACAACGGGCGGTGTTTTTCCGGATGTTTTTCAGTACTCCAATACCCATGAACGAAAATCCACATTCCTAAATATCAATGTTATCAGTACTTCTATCACGATGGTTTAGAATCCTGCATTCCGTTTGGTCCTTCAGAGCTAAAACGTAGAAATATCCAGATTTTACATTCTAAACCTTTAAATTGAAAACACACAATTTTATTTTTATCCATAGCTCCCACTTTCTGCGTGTACCCAATAGTCTGTGAGACAGTCTTGACGTCACTCTAAAAACAAAGATGAGTTTCTGCAATGATAGACATTTTTTTCAAGTTGAGAAATACATTAAATTCACCCTTTGAAAGGGATATTTGTGAAGTAGGATTTTGGTCTTTACAAATTGAAACACTATCTTTATTGTTCCCATACATATATACTTCACTCGTACAACAGGTACGTGTTCGATCGAGAAGTGGAACTAGCATAGGATGAAACTGACCGGGCCGGTCTGGGTAAGGTATCCACACAGACTGAACACAGAGTCAAGACGACTCCAGACAACAAATCTGATACTGGCAAGACAACTAATTAGACGGCTTTGATAAATATACGAGTTCTAGATGCACAATTGGCTTTTAGAATAACCCAAGGCTGTAAAATGTCTTTCATTCCTAAAAGGTCGTGTATAGAAATGTTAAAAGCTGCTTCTGATAATAACGCGGAAGAGTAGTTAATTATATCTCAGTCAAGAGATATTGTGTACGATCCATCATCATGCGGTGGATTAATCGGATATGGTATATCAGATATCATATATTGGGACCGGAGTATTTATACTTTGTTTTTTAAACGCCACAGTAGGCAATATTCCGGCAAAATGACGGTAGCCTGTGCATAATGGAGCCTGTAAATAAACTATTGATTGATACAGTGAGCGACGACCACGCCAACGGGGTACGTTGAAAGACAATCAACCAAGACACCAAGCATAACGGCCCGATCCGTTAGGTCGCGTCTTGCGACACGCAAAAACTGATGGACCCTAACCCTGAAACACACAATCTCAAAAAAACACACAGGGGTAACATGCGGTAAACTTCCATAATCTGGAAGACTAAGGAGGAAATTGATACCTGATGTTTAGCATGAATTAGAAAGTCTTGTGCAATTCCAGAGCAATCCTTTATTTGTTTTAGCCCAAACCAAAACAAGGGGATTTCGCCAAGAGGTTTAAGCTTCAGGTATATCGATGATCTGATATCGTCTTTCAATAACGGTCAACTAACCATTTCCCAGCAATATAACAGCAGCTCCAACATTTCATAACTTGTGTTTATTTCACAGCTTCTGAGGTACAACAGAGCATGCTCTTTCTAAAACGTTGTCAAAGAGCGCCTTACCATTCTTGCTCAAGGGTACAATATTCAATTACTAATCGCACCGTTAATGATGATGATGACGAGTGAGTGAGTGAGTGAGTGAGTGAGTATAGTTTAAATCTACTTTTAGGATTATGCATGCAAATCGCGAAGACGTCAGAAATGGGGTATAATGTGTCATTGAACTCATGTGGTCAGACAGACAGTGCTTTCAGACAGAGAGCATGTGACGCGTGGCCCTGACGGACTGCTGCCCACTTAATGCCAAAGGAAAGGTCGTATGAAAAACCCTGGGGTCGTGAGTTGTGACGGGAAGTCTATTCTAGAAGTCGCTGTCCCCTAGGGTACGTCTTCGTCAAATTTCACACAATACCACAGTGAATATGATGACGTCCTTTCTTTCATCTAATAATACAGAAATCAAACGCTTGCATGGATCCAAAATGTTGGACAATGCGTAAATGTAATTTTGCGTCTAGGTTATCTTGCTTTTCTTGCAAATGAATATAAAGTTGGATTTACCTTCACCCAAGGGTAATGTGTAACCATTAAATTTACGATATCTACTGATGTGATGTATAAATGATGATAGGATGTCTAAATGCATTTTGTCGCAGTCCTGCGTTATCGATATATAAATTTAATCAAGGATATGTATATATGTCGTCGCTGAAACGGCATTTAATTATAACTTCCAGTATCAACATTTTCTGTTTAGAGAAGGGAATATTGATGGAACTATGTTAAGTGCACGCTTAGCAGTGAGATTTGCTCGTCCAAAGTGCTGCATTACACAATCGGTGAGGATGTAAATTGGGTTTAACGCTTCTTTGAACAATATTCAGTTATATTACAGTGTGTCAGCTTACGTAATGTGGGAGGATAGCCCTACGTGACGCAGATCCTGGACCATGGGCATGCTACATGCAAGGGATCGATATACACCCTTTAAACTACATCACAGTTAGTTTAAATGTAATTGTCGCTTGCATTATAATTCTACTTTTGTTTGTCCTCACTATGCGATTATGCCTGTAACCTAAGTGTGTGGTAGTCTTCAGAGGCGACTTAAATTTATCGCTGACCACCAACGACGTGGATCGTTGCTCATAATATCAATCACTGGTTTCTCTGGGCCATACTTAATGATGTATACCTCGCCTTGATATAGGCGTTATATAGCTGTGAAGTACATCCATGTTCATTTATTCACTGTCTAAAAGTACACTTGACGATTGTGGATACAACGGATAACATGTGTTGTCATCACCATTTGATAGTGATTCATAAACATATGCTTGTTATACAGTCCGAAGCGTACAATCGAGATTTCTTATGACTTTGGAAAGGGTTTTGTCGCTTTAATTATTTTGTAACAGTTTCAAATTGAATAAATATTAACATGCATTTATGTTGTTCAGTTATATTATATGCACATCTTAACACCAAACAATCAGCTCTTTATATTCGTTGGTAATTGAGAAATGTTTATAGTCAACTTCATAGTCCGGTTAGTTAGTTCCTCGATATGCATCTACACCGTTGAGGAGCTGATATACTATTCAGAGGAAGAGGTGACTGACTAACAGAAGAAGTTACACAATTCTGGAGCAAGGATATGCCAGGCGTATGGACGACTTTGACTTCAAGGCACAATTGGCCCGTGGCTTTGCTTCGCCTGATGCTGCACATTTTAAAGTTGGTTGGTTGGTTGGTTGGTTGTTTTACGCCGCACTCAGCAATATTCCAGCTATATGACGGCGGTCTGTAAATAATCGAGTCTGGACCAGACAATCCAGTGATTAATATCATGAGCATCGATCCACGCAATTGGGATCGATGACATGCATCAACCAAGACCTTTTACGACAAGCATAGTCACCTTTTACGGGTTGCTGAAGACCTATTCTACCCCGGAATCTTCACGGGTAGCATATTTTTAAGGAAAGGTCGTGTGTGTGTGTGTGTGTGTGTGTGTGTGTGTGTGTGTGTGTGTGTGTGTGTGTGTGTGTGTGTGTATATATATATTGTGCCTGAGAGTTAGAACTTTACTGTGCTTTTTATATATAATTATACTGAATATATAAATATACCGACTTTTGTTGAAAACCGCAAGCAATTCAAATATCACAATGAGGGCGTTTCTTGGATCGAACCCATAACCAGCGAATCCTGCCAAGGCTAAGGGGTGCGACTCAACTTTACCCGACCGCCCTGCTTTACAAAACAAGGTTTACAAATTACAGAATCATGAAATTGCGTTTTTGTAGTGAGAGAAGGAATATCTGCATATTGTCCAGCTTGTTAATCAGTAACAATCCAAGCCGTTTAAACACGATGACACACTATCAACCAGATCACATATTGCAACCAACCGATCTTCTTTGGTCGGCCTTTTCGACAAAGATCGGGTACTGGAGATCGCGTTTACACCGGTATCCACAACGGAGTTGTGTTTATAACAAAGGTACAGTACGGAAATAAATATTAGATCTTATTTGTGTTCTGTGATTTTCTGTATGAGAATGTGACAACTACAGTAAATTTCAAATATTTTGTCAATTCCAGAGTCATGTTTTGACACATCCCTTCAAAGCACTAATGGCCGGAAACTGTACGAACCATTAACACCCACGCAAGCGTCATATAAACGGCTAGCATAAACGATCAAGTAGCAGCAAGTGGGAATTAAAATCAAAGACAGTTTAAAAACGCTAGGAGCCACAGAGTAATTAGACATTACGACGATAATGATTACGAATATCAAAGTATTAAATACGATCATAGTAGATTTAAGTTTTCCGATGAATACACCATTTAAAAATATATCGTGGAAGTGCACACACCAAAAAGGAAACTTTTAAGCTATCAATTAGTACCTAAACGGATAGACAAAAATACCCTTTGGACTCCTTGTGTCCTGTTATTGTGATATGTGTGGCTTCGTAACGGATCTTGCTCGTGGCAAGATAAATATTATTTGCTTCTTTGACGGTGGGGCGGATAGGATGTTGAAACCTTGCCGGAAGAAACAAAACATTGGGAAGGTTTACCATTTCGGCCAAACACCATGAGCATAGGCTAACCTTTCAAACCAACAGCTTAACGCAGCATTCTCAGATGTCGGAACATTTGTATGACGAAAAGTAAGCCGAGGGGTTTTACTACTCCACACAAGTAATGGTTCTAGAAAACAATGATAAAACATAACATTTTGTGTAACCGGGTATAGGATTATCAATTATATGATGGAGTGACTTTGTGCAGCT